GTTACCCCTTTACTCAACCATACAGGCAAGTATTCACGTGCGCGCATGGGTAAAGCCCTTTGAGTACAGCCAGTGTAGCTAGCTCCACATGAGCAGTTGAATTCATAGATATACACTGGTGATGAGGCCATCTTTGGTAATTTATCTCTGACTCGTTGTGTGTGTGTGTGTGTGTGAGTACTGGTTTAGTTGAGAAGTTGATTGCCAGTTTAGCCGCAGGAAATGTTCTACATACTGCTCTGTTAAGTCGATATTTTAGAATGTCAGCTGCGATTTCCCCTTTGTAACTTAACTGTAAACAACTAGATTTGATGTTTATAATATAGAAATACAAAAAATCTTCGTATGAAACACAAATAAATAAGTTAATTTGACATATGCAAACTATAGGGCATTATGTAACAAGAATAAACGTGTCTCATTTGAACTCATATGATAATGTGAACACTCCTCACTGAGATTCAATACTCAAGCAGGACTTATCGATTTGCATTAACAGTGTGTCAGACAAAATAATTATAATACTTGAGAAAACATTTTAAGGAGAGGAGGGAATGGAAGGAAACGTGTAAATGTTCGATAAGAGTATGCTACCAAGTTGCGTTTAAGCTGCCTACTCTCTCCTTTTGTAGATACATAGATCCGGCTTCTTTAATCTAACATTTTTATTATTTTGCTGATTAATAACTATAAAGCTTTTACTCAACGTCACCTTACGATCACAGTCCAAGAAATGTTGTGTGATTGAGCTCCTTGGGATGCCATCATGAGTTTACTAGAAAACTGTTTGGAGGTAGTGTTTGACAACTCTGACCGACAGATATTCTCAAGAAACTTAACCCTAAGTTCCTATTATTTACGAAGACGCTCCGAACCGATAATTACTATGTGCTTTTCTCGACTTTAACTCCAAAACACCAGTATTTGTTGAAAAGTTATATTGTTTGGCAATTAAAGTGCAGATAGTTACAAGTCTATAAACAAATAGATAGAGTGTACTTTTATTCGTATTCTTTCGTCTTCTTCCAACTTGTACACGATTGAATTACTCGCCCCTTTGAGTTGCCCACCAATGGCTACCGAGGTCAATAAACAAACGTTTATAATGTTCGCGTCCTTTAACAGACATCTTTTTGTACGTCTAATGGATTTGCTTCGACAAACACATGTGGTGAATTGATGTACACAATTTGATGTGGCAAGAGTCAACATCTTTTCTTTGCCAGATGGTAGTAGGCAGGGTCAGAAGAAGGAAGGTTGAGAATGAGGCTGGTGACCTCACTGCTCCTGAAATTTCAAAGCTGGAAACTTGGAGGTCAGTGTCTCTCTCACTGAAAACTCTTAGCAGTAAACAATCAGAGTTTATTCTTAGTCTACATATTATATACTTTCATGTACTGGCTTAGTTCTTACTTCATTACAACGTTTTCAACTTGAAGTTTTATACACCTTTGATAATTTTCTACTTCTTTAAGTGTGTAATGATTTTGATTGAAACTGACAAATGCAGATAATTAAATTTTGAAGCAAAACGTATATTTCATCAAAGACAACTGATTTTTTTTACAAAAATAATAAAGTTCTAACTCTGTAAACAGTCTGATGTAGTCAGGTAAAGTCTTTGACTAACTTTCGCCAAATAATGTATGTAAAAATAAATGGCTTTAGGATATCTTCGGGTATATATCTTGTATACTTTTTTCACACTCATTTTTGATATAACTGACGTTTTGTTAAGTCTACTTCCTGTCTGTATGGAGGGGAGGAGAACTTTTTAAAATGACTGGTCAAACCGGCACACACACACATACACAAACCTTACAGATGTCGGTCTGGATTATTCACATTGATTTTCCAAAAAAGCGTCTTCATATATATATATATATATATATATATATATATATATATATATGTATATTATCAGACTATATCAGTTTGTAGAAGCTGTTGTTCTTTCTCAGTCAAAATGTTAAATTTTGTATGAAATTACATTATTGGCAGATTTCTTAATTATGCACATAGACGAAGCGGACTGTCTTGGATTTTACTCGTATTCATTGTCTGTAGTTGGCAGTAAAAATATACTCTGGAAATTTTTTTAGCTATATTACTGAATTTTTCCAGTTTGACCACGGACGCGGATATCAGTTGGAGAACTATTGGAAATCAGGAAGTACTTGAAAGCTGTTTCCTCAGTCCTAGTCTGGGGACTCATCGACAGTACGTCCTCACCGCGGGGGAAGAGTCGCACTTAATTAGAATGCATGGGCTGGCGATTGGTTCGGGTCCCAGTTCCTGATTGGTTTACGAGGTTTCTGTGTAACTGGAAGGTCCTGGGTTTGAACCCTAGCACTGGGTGTGTACTGCCAACCAGTCACAAACTAGGACGGAGGAAACAGCTATTTAGTACTCTGTGGGATTCAACAGTTCTCTAACTGATATTACTCCGTGAGGAAACTTGAAACAAATCAATTCTGGAGAATATTACTGAATAACAATGCGAACTAATCAATATCATGTTTTGCTTTACAAAAGTGTTAGGATAGTGTGAGATGGTGCGCTTAGATCTGTGGGTATGAATATTTTGGGGGCGAAAATACACACTCGTGAATAAAACTGTTTTGGAGGTTTCACTAAGTCATGGATTGATTCAAAATTTATAACTTTATACATTTATTTGTCTTGGTAAAATTTGGACAAAGCACGAACAACAATTTGTGCAAAATAAGGTGGTGCCATCATTTATTTCTTCGGCTTTTTATAAGCTATGTACAGCTTAGAAATGTTGTGGTGACAGCTGGCTACAAGCCAAAAATTGTAGACAGCGATTTGCGCCGATGTTCATGTCCCGAATCGGGTTCATGAAAAAAACAATAACAACAAAGCTTAACCTGGAGGAACTCACCAATCAATCACAGCAAGCTTAACGTGGGCAGATTGGATTCTCATATATATGGCTTAACTTTCTGAGAAACAGTCACAGGCAGTAGAGAATAACCTTCAGAAAGAAAACAATCAGAAGAGGTTGCTTCTCTGCTGAAAATAATGTACATTAAAATCTATAAGCATCTGTTGATTCTCTCAATAAACTATCTGTTACCTGGTACTTGTCCTTTGTTTTTAGTGTTATATAAGGCTAGTAGACAGGAGACTCCAAGGTTAGTGAATAGTGCTCAGAAAATCACACTTATATAGTTTTTACCCAGCGAGTTCAAGTTTCACCAAAAACATCAGTGTATGCGTACGATGGTAAAGGAGTAATGTAATAAAGGCAACAGTAAAGAATAGACACCAAAGTCAAATGACCTTAAAACAACCAATCAGATTCTTTCAGCTAAAAAGTGGCATAAAATTAATAAAAAGCTATTTTTCAGGATTTCATCATGAGCTGACATTAGTTAGAGAACCATTGGAAAACCTGGAGGTATTTATATTTACAACATATATATGTAATAAAAATGAACTATACAGGATAAATGTCTCTAATGTGCTGCAAAAACTGGTCCCAGTTTCTCATAGGAGTGGTTATAGACATATTAAACCAATGCCGATACAAAAGCTCATCTGAATGACTATACACCATATCAATTCGGGAACCGTTTACCATTCTGATACGTTTTTTGAGGTGAGCCCAAAATCCTTCAATGGAATTTGAATGTGTTCCTGTTACAAGATCCACCAGTTCAGAAGAATGGTTGACTTTGTGGTGAAAATAGCCTAGTGATGACAATTGAGAGTAACCTCTCCACTCGTCTGTGTGAATAGTAGTTCCTGGAGGGCTAGTAGTTATATAATTGGTATTAACACATCAGCGCTTCTGTTCGGTATGCGTTCCACAAAGGCTTTACGAAGATTTGTGTCGCAAAGTCCTAGCACCCAAACATAATTTGCTCTACTCATCTCTCGATGCATTTTTCGCTTAATAAGTACACTTTCGTCAATATGCACGACGACACCAACTCCCCGAGTACAGAGGTGATCCCATTCATCTTTTATGAGGCAACATCACGGCAGTGTTGATACCACTGCACTGTTGAAATTTTTGTATTCTCCGTTTCTGCAGCCGTAGCAGATACTGGTCGCTTTAGTAGCCAGTTGTGGCATATACGCAGTATTTTACTAAGCGACAATTTGGATTTAGAGAAAAAAGTATCTAAAAACTTACCATAATGTACGACTTACCAACTCGCACAGATTTCTTCATGTAACAGTGGTTGCATCTAAATGCGTAGCCATCAATAGCCTGGCAATACTTTTGTAGAGTTATTATCCCACCACGTATGCAGGTTTTATGCAGGTGTGCGTCGGTGGCACAGTGGTTAGGGCTGTCGCTGACCATGCACATGGTCCGGGGTTCGATCCCCTGCCGACGCCCAACTCATACCTATGGTCGGCCTGAAAAATTTGGGCTACCGATATCCATGCTGAAAATTCCATACTTGTACCAGAAATACAGTGTGGAATCAAGCTGTAATCAAAAATAATAAAAAAATAAATAAATAAATAGACCACCCAATCAACCCATTTTCCACACAGAAGTCCAAAACTAAACCTGGGTGAAACTTGCAACGAAGTTCAAAGACCGCATCCATTTTGAATGATGGACGATCTGGTTGGTTGTTTCAAGGTCATTTTCTTTTCTGTCTATTCTTTACTCTTGCCGTAATAAAGACAAGAGGTTCAAAGGCAAAACTCTGTTCTATAGAGTCAGGAGAATCTGCTCTACAGACAAACTAAACGAAGAATTTATGATTCTCAAAAAGATGTTGAAAAAACTACAGCTTTCCTCAGAGACTCATTAAAAAGCATGCAAGTTGTGAAGGTTCAAACATCAAACAAATCACAGTGGGGAAAGAGTGTCCTCATTCAACAAAGACATTAAATATTAGTAAATCATGTTGACTAGACGGATAAATTATTTTAACAAAGGATGTTACGCAAAAAAATATGAAAAATTCATAATATTTTTAATATATATCTACTTTTTTGGTGGGTTTTAGGTTTTTGAAAAATTACTCTTTGGATTGTGTTTCTTCCATGCACTTGTACAAGAACGTATTAAATTTGGTCCTTTGGGATGGAATATACCATATGGATTTAATGAATCTGATTTACGCATATCAGTTAGACAATTACAAATGTTTGTTAATGAATATGAAAAAGTTAGTTGGAATAATTCTACTTTTTACTATTATTATTATTGATGACGTATGATACTGAAAAAGGTTTTAATATTACCTGAAACTTAATATCCGTTTGTATTTTTAAAGAGGGACTACTGCTAAGTTACTTACCTACTTACCTATGACAGAGTAGACAGTTTTATCCAGCAGGTAACTGAACCACTGTTAGCTCAGAATCACTCAACTTCCTTAAAAGCCCCTAAGTCACTATTTTAGGACGCTGAATAGTAACATACTTACTGTACGAGCACTATTCATAATCTAAAATGAAGATAGAACTGGTTTCCGAACAGTTTTCTGCATCACGGAAAGTGGTACACAATTCGATAACAGAGTATGTAGTAAATTCTGGGCATTCAGCCCTATTTGAAAATTCCTTCAAAGCTATATATAAGATCCGATCCAAACCTATCGAAGGGAGTGAGATCAAGACATCCAGGTATAACTAAGGCACTGGCGGTTCAAACACTCAAGCCTATTCTATGTGTTCAAAAGAGAAATACGTCCAGCTGTTGTCCCTACCGTAGCCATCATTAAAAGTCAGTCTCACCAATAACGATTATCCTATTGTGGTGAGTGCTAGCCTAATTGGTAGACAGTAATTTAGGTCAATCTTTACGTCCACAGTATTGGTCATGAGAAAATAAGAACAAAGACTGAATCAACAACCAATCACATTAGACTTTGCGAAGGCGGATACAATTAGGAGATAGATGATCTGACATTCAAGAAACAGCCACAAAGACATGAAAAATTTACTTTTTATAAGAAACAACCAATCAGAAGACTGTTTTTATCTGCTAACAGTAATCTATAATAATATACATGAAAATCTATAAATATGTGTTGACTTCCTTAATAAATGATCTGTTTCCTGGCCCTTGTCTTTTGTTGTTACACTATTACCTTTCTTGTCCAACCTCCCCGTTGATTTGTTATATTTACCTTTTAAATCCTTATCTGCATTATACGTCAGAACCTCCTACCCACTTCGTTAGTACTACATGCTTAAGCTGTAATTACATAAACTGACTAGTTTTCTAGTAATTATAATCCTATTTTGTCTTTTCTATCCTATCTTCCTGATTACTACACATTGTAATTTTTAATTTAACCTTTAGCCCGAAATATTTCTAGAATAGTGTCACTACCTATCTTGTGTTTATTATACTTAGTAATTCTATTAATCTGACCTCTGACCGGAAATAATTCTAGATATTTCTCACAAATTTACTATAGCTACACGAATGTAAAGCTGTCAAAAGGAAAAAGAAAAATTTTAAGTTTTCTACATATAAATCAACATACACGTTACAAATGGCAGTAATGACCATCTTTAAAGAACTATCATGCATCTGATGCAGTAAACACAATTCTCCATGACTATGTCCCATTTTCGTATACATGAGGGGAAGGAAAATTCATCCCTGATGTTACCCTACGATGAAACTTCTGAAAAAGTGACTGCTCATTTTAAATTATTTCATCATTTAACAATAAATCAAGAATAAAATCCAATGCCGTACACATCAAAGTTATGTGGGAGAATTAACTTCAGTCTTTATTTTTTTTTCTCATGTATTTGTGATCCATCCAGCATAGACCTGGGTTTAATTTTTGTTAATGCGAAAAAAATATTTCTATAGTTTTTAATCTGCTACACTGACAAACTAGTTAGCTGAATATTCCAATTGACTAACAATAATAGGTATAGGTACAATTTTAATGTCCTTCCAATCGGCTGTCACGACATTTCTGGAAAAACGATTCATTAAATATGTTAATGAGAGGATAACACATTTTTTTTGAGAATAAGACTAGGCAACAAGAAGGGTTCAGCGACTGGAGACATTTTAGAACATCATATGTATTGAAACCAGGAAAGCAGGTTTGTCGGCATTTGTGGGGGAATGTATGAAAGACTTGTTTAATGTACACGCATCGAATAAATAAGGAATACTGTTTATCTGCTTACCACCAGTAATTTCTTTGAAAAGTTTCCATATATCAAAGGTATTTTTATAGGAATATAAACTTCTGGTTATAAATTGAATTCAGCCTGTGTATTTCAAACTTGATTAGGCTGTTTATTCTTTCCACACCAATGTTATCCTTCATTTATATAACATTTCCTTTTCCCTGTGAAGTTTTTTAAGTTGAGGGAGAAGAAACGGTTAAATCTGATGAAAAGTGTTTCTCTGAGACAGCAGGCATCAAGACAAAGTTTAGGACAACACGCAATATTTGAGAAAGTGCCTTCATTAAACAAGTCCCATCTTGTGTCTTTGAGCATGCTCCTAAGATTCTGAACATTTTCCTTAGAGTAACATCCATGTACAGTTTTCTTGGACAGGTGTGAAAAGGTTCTTTCGTGTAGCTTTCCATAAATTTCGGGTGAAACCCGGTTTACAATACAATGATCGGAGTTAAACAATGGGGAGGGGGCTGTTTTACGAGCTTCCTATATTCCAGAGTCATTTATGAAAACAGGATCAAGCGAAGTATCCAGTCGGGTGGGGAAGTAAGCGACATTTTCATGACCCAGCACTGTAAGAAATTTGCAGTCACAGGAATTAAAATCGCCTATCATTATAGACAATGAATTAACAAAAGAGTCGGTAGCGAAAATAGTGAATTCATCAGCAAACATAGATAGTTCTGAAGTGCTACAAAAAGGTGCGACATAAATGTTCGTGATAAAAATGAAGTTGTACTTAGACAGGTATTTAGTTCGACATTTAACAGTTATACAGTCAATATTATCATTTTGGAATTTAAGGCAGACGTTGATAGCAACAGACCACTGAGAATTGATAAAAGTAGTAACACCACCACCTTGCTTCTTCCTTGAACTGCTTCGGTCTCGTCTGTACATATTGAAACCATTTAGAGAGATTAAATTTTCATCATATGAATCGTGGAGCCAAGTTTCTTGGGGCGTTATAACACTTGGATTACGATAAATATTTGAACATAATAGAGCATCCAAATAATTAATCTGGTTTGATAATGACCTGCACTTTGTGCTCATAATTACAAGAACAGTCTTCTGATGCATTGGAGTACACTTTCAGGATCGTCGCCACCCACCATGATGCTTTTTCTTAAGTTTATTAGAAACTTGTTAATCATCCCGTTGAAAAGATTTTAAATAATCGCGAGAGTAAGTAGTATGATTTGGACACATAACTGAATAAAACAAAATGAATCCAATTAATGATATGTAATATAAATGACGGAAAATCCTGGTAGCTCAAGGTTCAAACAGGCCGCCGTAGGAAAGAACAGCAAACATGTATAACTGATTTACTCATGCATAGACCGGAATAAATATATTATTATTATTACTATTATTAATCCTGGTGGAATGCATTCCAAAGCAGACGAAATTTTAATGCCTGCCGTCCCGCGTACTTTCAGGTCGCGTATTTAAATAGAAGACCAACGGTGTTTATGATAGCTTGATGCAATCACGATCAACGGAATAAATTTGAAGGATGTCACTTCCTTCAATTATCTAGGAAGCATCGTTTCAATTAGAGCCAACTTCACTGATGAGGATGTCAAAATCAGATTCGGTGGGGTAAGACGGAAGTTAATCACCATGAAATTATTTTGGGAATCTTTTGAACTCATCATGAAGAAGAAGATTTGTATTTCCATCACCAATGTTAAGTCAGTAAGTTACTTCTTCTCTACAGCCCAGAGACTTGCACTGGACGTCACGGACATGTATCAACAGCTGCCTTCTTCGCTGGTTCCATACTGAAGATCAGATTACCAGCTGGTCAGAAAGAATCAACAACAAGAAATTCTCGGGATGAATCATTCAAACAAATATGCCTATCAGAATGGAGATGGATTGGACACACGCCGACGAAACCATCTGACCACTGCTCGAGTGAAACTCGAACGGGAAATGACGAGTTGGTCTAGGGTCTGAATGTGAAATGCAGGAGACACTTTGAGGAAAAGATGAAGGACTATGGATGGAAGGTCGTGAAGCCAGTTGAGGAGGACCGCAGATAGTAGGACGAAGTGGTGTGTCGTTTTTGAGCTCTGTGATCCATTCTGAACAATGATAATACACATTACATTGAAATTTGTATGAGATGGAATGATATAAAGAGAATTTGGGAAGTTTTGACTGAATATTATGTAACGTTACAAGGTACATAAAATGGAAGATGAAATCACCAATGATCATTTCATCAATTTTAGTGGTCAAAATATTCTCTGAACATGAGCTTCCTTGTTTATTCGATAGTAACTTCCCACTTTTTTAAAATTCTCATTTCTTCAAAGGTACCATATGATGCTATTCAGTATATGACAGGTGAATGTAATTATGGTGGTCGAGTTACAGATGAACGTGATAGACGTTGTTTAATGACAATATTACATGATTTCTTATGTCAGAATGTTGTCAGTGATCTACGTTATAAATTTTCACCTAGTGGATTGTACTATGCACCACCTAAAATGGATTATAATGAATATTTAGAATTTATTAAAGTGAGACATACATTTTCTAATTTATAAATATTTTATTATCACTTTGATTTAGAAAGTGACAAAACTATGAGTTCAGCGAAGAGTCACTTTTTGCCGGCGAATTCATTTTCTTAGCTATACAATCGCAAATATATATGTGTTATTTTGTATGTATGTGTACATTGAGTTTGTCAAACAAAATTACAATTGGTTATGGTTATTTTAATTAAACAGGTAACTGGAGTTACGTAATACAAAATCGGTCAAGAAAATTAGATGTTAATGAAAATAGGGTAGTAACATAGGTGATGAGTTGTCACAAACAGTTGTTAAAAGAAATTGTGTAATAAATAATATGAATAGTTTGATGAGTGAGTTTTACTCATGATGAGCATAGGAACAAAGTAGATAATACGAGATTATGTAAGAGTTCTAAATGAATACAAGAATTATAAGCAATTAAAGAACAGGCAGACAAAAAAATTAAGTCATCAAAATCAACAAAGTAGTCGCCATGGTAATAGAAGTGGTTGAGTAATTCTCTTTTGTATGCACAGCTCCGGTATTTCTATGTGAATGACCAGAGTTTCAGAGATATAAAGAAGAAGAGGCCGTATTGCCTTTAATTCTTTACTTGCTTATAATTCATCCATTCATTCAGAACTTTTACGTAATTCCGTATCATCTACTTTGTTCTTATGAGGATCCGAGTACAGCTCAGTCATCAAACTGTTCATATATTACGTAACTTCTTTTCCGCAACTGTTTCTGACAAATGATCGCATTTTTTACTACCCTAGTTTCATTAACACCTAATTTTCTTGACGATTTCGTATTACGTAACTCCAGTTACCTGTTTAGTTAAAATAGCCATAATCAGTTACAATTCTGTTTGACAAACAATATACACATGCATACAAAATGACATATATATATATATATTTGGGATTGTACAGCTAAAAATGAATTCGCCGAAACGTGACTCTTCACTGAACTACGTGTTTTGTTTTCATTAATGCCTGCGTTCAGGTCGCAGTCCACTCTGTGGGCGTGGGTTCGAATCCCACTCCTGACACCACTCTGTGCATCGTAGGCACAGCGGTTAGCATGCTCGCCAACCATGCACATGGTCCGGGGTTCGATCACCGGCCGACAAGGCACTCCTTTACCTCGCTTATCCAGTAATAAGACTGGTAAAGAGGGAAGGTTGGGCATGAGGCTAGCAACTCCATCCTGTAAAATTGAACACTGCTACAGAAACTTCAAGCCACTAGCTTGAAGCCTTATGTTCCACTGGGAACGTGAAGGAAATAAAAGAAAACTGCCTGGATGACGATTATCCGTGAATTAAAACTATGAGTTGAAAAATTAGCTCATTTCGTTTTGGTGTGTGTTTTGTATTTCCCTCCCACCCGGCGAAATAAAACACTGATTACAAGGGAAAAGTTTCCTTCTATGAGTACGAAATGCAACAGACTCTTTTTAATTATTTTTTTTCCAGCTTGGCTTTTTCCAACATTTATGCTATTAAAAGATGAAAATTCACTTGTTTAACCACTGTTTTCATCATGATATGACAATAAAATTGAAAGCGGTTGGGAAAAAAAAGTTATTTCATTTCACTCTGAAAAGTTGTTATCAGTTCTCACTCATAGTTAAAAAGTCCTTAAGTCTCCTCTATGTGGTAATTTTTAACCCGCTCTATTGACATAAATGAGCAGGTGTGAGTAAAACTACTCGCCATGGATGACATTGTCTGGTGCCTGTCACGCTAAAATCACAAACTGGTAAACTTAGAAGTGATGGGCTGTTGAGTGGCTGAATTGTCCTTGAGCTCAACTTGTAACCACAGGCTCCTGGCTTGGAACTCCAGTGGGTGTGTACTTTGAAGACTGCCAGACTAGGACGAAACAGCCATCCGTTATCCCTTGGTTTCCAATTATCTCTGACCGATATCAATCTGTGGGCGAACTTGAAGTTAAATTTTAACTTCAGCTGTTAAATTTCATAACAAACCAACATTAATTGGGGATCATTGAAAAGCCGAGGGTGCCGGATAGCTGACTGTTTCTCTCTGTTTTGCGACTCTTCAGCGGTGCAAGCCGAAACGTCACTAGGGACTGGATCTGAGATTTTCAGGTTATGAACCAAGTCCTCTTGGGTGGGAATTCAATAACCTTTGAATTCTAACTTTTAGAAAACAGAAAGATTGAGCGAGCGAAGAAATAGTTACTTTTCAATTAGATCCTCATCTCTGGCTCTACTCTAATATATGTCGATTGCATTTTTATTACAATACACAACAGTTTACCAATCAAGTGGCACTGATTTGTTTGTTAACGATAATTAGTCAGCGTCAAAATGTCAATGGGTTGATAATTAACGAAGAAAATCAATACACATTTAAAAGGTAGAAATGGTTAGAATAAATTCATTTTACAAGGATAACACGTAATTAAAGATGAAGCGGTCATAAAAAATAAAATAATTTGGACAATTATAATTTCTATAATTTTAAAGGTTTAAGGGGAGGGGGGCACAGTAGTCCGGCTTGTACATTCATATAAAGATGGCCAAGGCAAGGAAGTGGCTGTACAAATTTCTTCTGAACACACAGGTCTGGCTTCTTCATGTGGATTCCTATTGCTTCAGCTGCATGTAGAAGATGAACTCGTAGAGGAAAACTGAGATTAGTAGGAATGCGATAAATAATTTTAAATGCTGTATTAACATCAACCTTATGCTCACTATCTACAGGGTGTGCTAAAACAGAGCAACGAATACATCTTCTTTGTCCCTTGCTTAATCATGTTGGATGATGTTCGGAAATACGATGATGAAGTTGCCTAATTGTACGCCCAATGTAGCTGGCTCTACAGCTACAGTCAAACTGGTAGATACACATAGAAGAGGTAAATTTAAGTGGTTGTGATCCTTATTTCTCGAACCTAGAAGAGGGGTTGTTGTGAAGAGACAATGTACCTCTGCTGCATAATTAGCTCTTTTAACTGCATTCTTCAGGCGCTGTGTTATTATTTCGCTGATGTTGTCACCGAGGAACTGTAGTTTTATGAACATAGGTTTTTTCGGAACTGTTGCCATACTGACTCTCCTAAGTGCTGAATTCATATTTTTCTCAATAAATTTATCTGGATAACCATTTTTTTAAGTAGCTCTCTAATAATCTTAAGATCCTCATTGAGGCAGTCGTCTGAACAGATTAACCTGGCTCTATGAACCAGACACTTTACCAGGTTACGTGTATATTTCAAAGGTACAAAACTCAAAAAATGAGTGTACTGACCTGTTGTTGTAGGTTTCCTATACACACTTTGTCAACTCGTGGTATAGCTCTATGCTATGATTTCAGTGGGCATCCACTTCACCTGGACACAGCTTCGCGTTACATATCATCAATAGTAGCAGACATATTTACGAAAAGTTGAGGACATAAGTCTCTTAGAACGCTTAATCCTATTCCTAGGTTATGGTGGGTATATATGGATGACAGATCCACAGCCTCAAAATGTGAACGTATCCCTCAGTTTTTCACACATATAAACTCAATAAAAGACGGAATCCAGTTCACTTCAGCGTTAGAAAACGAACAGGGTGAGTTGGCTATGGAAGACTGTAGAATAAAACGAAAACAAGATGGCTGGAGGTTAGATACTGGCATTTATAGAAAACCGAAATACTCTAAGAAATACTTAGACTTTAATCCATTCCATCCAGAATCGGTAGAGATAGGTTTAGTTAAATATCTGTATAATCGGGTCAAGGGCCTAACTAGTAAGCCAGAAAATTTAAATTATGAAATCAAACAAATGAAGAAAATATTACTAGTGAATAACTACCCACCAGAGTTTATTAAGAAATATATGAAGAACCATAGAAAAACTAAGATGAGCAATAAAAATGATGGAAATAATATAGAATTTTGAGCCTTTGTAGTACTGCAGTATAAAAAAGGAACATCAGAAGCCTTACGTAGAATCCTCAATGAAGCTGGAATTAAGGTGGTGTTTTAAATCAAACAACTCTCTTTGCGATATACTTTGTCAGTTTAAGGACCCAAAAGACCCACACAAGAAAAATCGAATATAATTTACCGAATTCCATATAATGACTGTGAGTGAGGTCAGTTGCATAGATCAAACTAGTAGATAGGAGTCAACTAGGTTATTAGAATATAAAAATTTAGCTAGACCTAGAATGATTGACCCTGATAAGTTAAATAACCTAGAGAAAACAGAGCTCAGCCATCGCACTGCATTCACATGCATGTAATCACACAATAGGTGGGGTGAGACAGAGTGATAGTGTTAGAAAGTAATATAGTTGGGTGGAGAGAGAGAGGTTAATCACTGAATCTTTGTTTATCTACTCAACACTGTACACGTGCAATCGAAATAAGGAAGGCTTCGTGTGCTTTTGGAAGCGTGTGGGCGATTGTTACTTCCCGGCTGCCCACACCGTGGAAGTTGATTCATTCTTCGGGTACCTGAAACAGAAAGTGTTGCGTGACCGCAGAGCCCAGGGGATAACTGTTTGAGGCCGATCACATACGGCCCGTGTTAACTGGTTTCTTGGTTTGGTTGTGTATTAGTAAACTTACCGCTGGTTACGGACCACCGTAGGGTAAGTCGTGATGTACAGTTTTTGGGGTCGACCGTTTCTTACCCCTTCTCTCTGGATTGGAGAGACAACATATCTGGCATGCTGGTCATCTGAGGGAAACACCTCACTGCTCTTATACTCCTGTTTCCAAGCAGTACAACTTTGCCTACAGAACCCTAGCATAATGTGCGAAAGATTATTACGACTTTCCCATTGTTTATTTTGCTTAGTTCAGGAATTTAGTTATTTAGCGTTTCTGTTTTTCGTTACTATTATAAATTGAAAATCATCAAAAATGGTATTCGTTATATCTCTCATTTGCTTGTTGTATTTCGCTTTAAAGGGGTTACCAGCTACACAAAATCCTGAAGTATTTGGAATGCATGAAAATGTTGATATAACCAGAGAATTAAGTGAAACACGTATCCTGTGCGATTCAATCTTATTAACTGTTGGTCAGACATCAGCAGAAGGCGGTGGAGTAATTGATTCACGAACAGACGATATAGCCTCGGATATATTGAATAAATTACCAGAAGCATATGATATATCTCAAGCTTATCAAAAATATCCTGTCAAATATGAAGAAAGTATGAATACTGTTCTTGTACAAGAAATGGAACGTTTCAATAAGTAAGTTTTAAAATACCTTGAATTGAATTGGTGGATGGTGATTAGCAGTGGAATCCAGGATGTGCTTTGGCGTTTGAAACTATAGGCACTGGACTGGAGCCTCGGTTAGAACATCATCACCAACAGGAGAATGCAGGTACATCCATTAGCTGACGAGTCCCGAATAGGACGAAATGCATATCCTGGTGGACTCCACTGCTGGTTATCATCCCCTAACTGACTTCTAATAAAATGTACAGACATAGTCGAAGCATCTGCACAAGAAACCGATATGTCAAGCTGAGACTGAGCACTTCGGTCCAATCAGTCGACGGGAATATCTAAAATGCAATAATATTTACCTTGGATTCTTATTAACAAAGTACTGATTAGATTTCTAGCACTTGGTTCCCTTGATAAATTTAGATAAACGAGCCAGATTTCTAGCAGTAACTGATATCATCCTATGTCAGAGATTCTACTCATCAGCTGTAGACCTATACCCAAAATTTCAAGGGTTATAAAAAAGAATGACAATAATATACTTCACTGAATGAAAACACGCTACAATATTAACGCCCCCGAAATATAAACATTACAATTTCCAGTTTAAGTTATCATCAGTTCATATGCTTTCAAAACAGGTAAGGAGGAAGGTAGCGATGGAGTGGAGAAGACAGAAGACAGAGAAATCGAATAAACAAATAGTGTTAGCCTGTAGGTTCACATATGGATTCAAGAAGGTTATTGTTTATGAGACTGAAAACCGGCTCAGTGAGCTGAAACCGCTAATATGGATGACAAATCAAGGTAATGAAAATAGAGTTAGTTATCAAGGGAGGGAGAGGTTCAACACACATACTCTCTTTCTGTATGCATAAATTTGGTTTGAAGCACTTGACTGGAAATGCTTCAGCATATCGTAGTAAAGGAAGTCTCAAATACATGACCTGTATCCATAAGGTGTCTGGCAACTTCACTTCTGGCAAATATCAGCTTCCCTTTAAGCAACAATTTATTGGGGAGATAATAATAATAATAATGGTAAAGCTTTATTTAAGACAGTATGCGAATATACGGTACAAAAATTTTCAGCGTATTCAGTTCCAAAGTACTTTTTTCTTCACAAAGGATTCACATGTAAGGTAATAATTTGCAGTATATCTTCATTTCGTTGAAGATTTGTTTACTTGGGAGCAAGTTAAATCATCGCACAAGTTTATGTATAGGTCATTTGATATAGCTGCATGATTAAAACAGTGATAAATCCAGATGAAATTAAGCATTTTGGAGGAAAGTAATTTCGGTAACCCAATGATTTAAGCAATTACCTGACACTTTGCAGATATAAGTCTTCTCGTCGAAATTCCCAAATCCTTCAAAATATTAAACATACAAAGGACGATTTGCTGAAACGATTACAATCAAATGTTTCAAACCAAATTTATGCATGCAGAAAGAGAGTGTTGGTTTGTATGGATTTGGTTGGTTACAGGATTTCATCATGAGTTGACATTGGTTAGAGAACCGTTGGACAGCCGTTTCGTCCTAGTTTAGGCCATTGAATCGGATCTCAGTGGCTTAATGGTATATGGGATCGCCTTGCAACCAGAAGGTCCTGGGCTCGAACACCGGTGACAGCGTACTGCTGAAGAGTCCCAAACTAGGATGAAACAGCTGTCCAGTACTCTCTGTTGGTTTTCCAATGGTTCTCTAACCACTGTTAGCTTTAGGAAGAAAGTGTGTTGAATCTCTCACTCCCTTGATAACTATATTTTCATTACATTAGTTTGTCATCCACATTAGTAGTTTCAGCTGTCTGAGCCTTATACATTATAACCTTCTTGAGTAACTAATGTGAACTTATAATAGCAAACATCGCCCATTTATGCGGTTTCTCTGTTTTCTGTCTTCTACTCTCCATCACCTCCTTCATCTCTCTCCTATATAAGAGTATATAAATTGGTGGTAGCTTAAACTGGAAATTATAATGCCTCTATTTTTGGGTGATTTAACTTTATAGCGTTTTTCTCTACTACCATTCAAACATTCAAGTATGCTTTTGTCATTCTGTTTTATAACTTTTTGTAGTTTTGCGTATTGGTTTGTAGCTGATGGCTGAGCAGAATCAGTGAAGTAGAATGATAGCATAGCAAATTGGAAATTTGATCCCCCTTTTAATCGAAACTCATTAGATTATTCTTTGTTATGTGTTTACTCTATGGAAACTACTCCAAATTATGTCTTTGTTATTCGTTAACTGAAATTCACTCATTCCTGTATTGATTTAAACGTTCATTAAAAAAGACAATAGGATTTCGAGGAGAAGAGGAATTGACACAAACTGAGTCCTGGGTCACTAAATGGTTGCATTCCTACTTCTCAAACAGAATGCAGTACACTGTATACAAAGGTAAATCCTCCTCAGCTGTGCTCACTGAAGCTGGTGTCCCCCTGAAGTGCTGTACTCTCCCCACTTCTCTTTTCTTTCTTTCTACATAACTTACCATCTTCAAATGACATTAATTTGGTTAAACTTGCTGACGATCTGACTGTGTCTTTGCCTGTCAAGTGTCAGAATGACTGTTCCAAACTAAATGCCTTTTTATCAGAAATCAGCCAGTGGTCCAAGGAAAACGGTCTTACCTTAAATCCCTCTAAATGTCAAACAGTCAATTTCACCTTTAGGCATAATTCTGACCTAAACAAACTGGCTAGCACTCACGAGGTGAGCAACATGAATAGACGGCACTGAAATAGAGACCAAGTCAGAAATTAGATATCTAGGCGTCATTCTATCTGCTGATCTTTCCTGGTCGTCTCATATCTGAATGGCTTCTAAGAAAATATTCCGTCTTACCTTCTACATCAAGAAGTTAAGACATTCTGGAATAACCCAACCCTTACTCCTACGATTCGTTAACTCTTGCATCCTACCTAATATTCTTTATTGTTCCCCCTTAGTTTTTCCAGGGCTAGTGAAGAAAGACTATATCTTATTACGCAGGATGTTAAAGGTTGTCAGCAGGGTAAGCTACGTGCCACTTAGCCAACTTGTTAATATTATGGTCGACAGGCACTTGAACTCATGTGAAAAATGGGTTAAATCCATTTTATCTAACTCACAGCACCATCTTCATTCACAACTCTCCCCTTGTATCTCATCAGGCAGAATCAGAAGCCTATACCGAAAACTATATGCTCGCACTGGTAAGTACAAAAACTCAACCATACCCTAGTTACCTCGTGTTCTGTGTGATAAAGAAAGCATTAAGTGTGAAACTTGTTAAATCGCCAGTAGAACAATTGGATCTCGTCTTTCCGATTCATATCATTTATAAGTACAACTTCTTCTTTATTTCTTTTCCTTTTCTCTTATTTTTTGGTATGTACTGTTGTGTTTCCCTCTTCCTTACAAACTCTACTTTAAACATTCTTCTTCGTTCTTTCACACTCTGTACACCTCGACCTTTTTGTTACCGCTTACGCCAGTAAATATGCTAGTATCTACTTTTCTAACACCTTCAAACATTCTGTTCAATTATGGCTTGGCTACCGGAATGCTTATATGTTGTTGTCAAAACTAACCGAGATTATTACTATTATTCTTTATATTATTGTTTCCCCTTAAACAACACACATCAGAAGATATCATAAGCATCGTCTGCAATTACAATTCTACGAGTTTGCACACAGATTGATATCAGTTAGAGAAGCATTGAAAACCAGCCAGGAGTACTGGACAGCTGTCTCGTAACAGCCTAGTTTAAGAATCATCAGCATTACGCACCCACTGCCAGGGTTCGAATCCAGGACCTTCCGGTTATTTTGTATTCAACAGTGAATACAACCTTGTGATACATTAGTCCATAAACCACTTCATCAGCGATGACAGTTTATGACTTTCGTAACACAGTATAGTCGGCTAAATAATATATATCATTACGAAACATTCAGTAATAAAAGTAGACAAATCAGGCAATATAGCCCTACTCTAAAAGACAGCTGAACGTTATAAATCTGGTCGGCTGTGTTTTTTTCCCAGGAACCATTACATAATTATGTATTGAAGACTATCTGGTCAAAGACATATATAAATATGTATTAATAAGGGGCATGTGATATATACTTTGCCCTATCATATTTAAGTAAACTTTGTTAAGTATTTATGCATAGGCTGAATACTAGTGAATACTTTCGAAACATCGTGAGATCATTGGTAGTTTCCGCGTAAATATTTATCTTTTGTCTGTCTCTAATCTCAGAAAAACAGATAGAAATTGTGAGAATCCCCTATCATATTTGTTTGGGAATTTTTCATCTACAAGACGAATGATTTTATCAATGTTTTAAAAGTATCCATTAGGACACTTAAACATACAACAAGAGAAAGGACTTCAGCGCAGTGTATGGTTTATTTAGTTGACATTCACATTGTGTTGATCAAAGTAGTTATTAGGCCGTGGCAATAGGAATACGAACGACTGAGTACATTAGGTTGAGTAGTGTTATAGTCACCTATAAACCAAGTTAGTAGCTCATCGATTCTTAACTGTGTCGTATATAGAATAATTCGAACGATTAGGATACAACAAAGACCTACTTGTAGCCTCATCAGGTGAGAATATGCAGATGGCATAGTCCTTCCTCCTAGGTGAAGATGGTAACAAAATGCACAGTCTTTTGAACACCTTGAGCAACAATCTTCGAATGTGTTGGTCTGCTATGTGACTTGATGTTTACAGGCCTGGACTACATCGACTACTCCTAGCTTAAAGATAGGGAGTGTTAACCACTTCAATTATTTGTTTGATCGCTGACGAAATCTCAGCATGGATACGGAAGGCTCGTTTGACATATGCCAGCTTACGCCACCTCTGGTGTAGACGTGATGTCCAGCTGTTGACCAAAAGGCGTGTTTACTGCTCAACAGTTCTCTCTGTCCTCCTTTATGGCTGCGAGACGTGGCTTTTGAAAGTGGAAGATACGAAAGGGCTAGTTACCTGTCTTTGATCATAGGT